CTCCCGATGTTGATTGTGAAGGTTGTTGATTAGAGCTTTCATCAGTTGTTGTGAAGATCGTCAGATTATAACATTTATCGATCTACGTGAAAGTCTTCAAATTATAGCCTTCTAGAAGTCGTCAGATTGTAACTTCCATCATCGGTGTTTGATGGGGAATCAACTATCTATTGTGATTTTTAGACAACCTACAGTTACACACATCCACATAGAGCTTATTGTATTTTCATACATAGTATATTTGGGTTAGTGAGAGTTGTAACATTAAGTGCGAGCCTACATTGAGTTCTCATCTATTGTAGAGAACATATCATTTATTATATTATGAGGTTATAAAGTTTTCGATGAGCTAGAAAACCGAGTGTGAAGTGGAGATCTCCTCGAGGTGAGGAGCGGAGACGTAGGTCGTGGGGACCGAACTCCGTGAATAAAGTTATGAGGTGTAAACATTATACGTGTGAGCGTAAAAAACCCGGTTGTGATAGTGGATTTCTCCCCGGGAGTGGGGAGCGGAGACGTAGGACGGAAGGTCCGAACTCCGTGATCATATTATGTGTTTGCATTGTTTATATTGCCCTATCACAATTGTATCTTTAGTTGAGATTGTTTACCTTTGTGTTAACATATATATCCTTGCATATATTTCATCATATACCTCTTTGCTAGGATATATCTCTTTATTCATATTGCATATTCTTGCTCATATCATATTGTATATCTATCTTACAAGAAATAATTCTTTAGTAAGTTTTAATTGGTATAAAATCAGATTAGATTAGCATAAGACCCTAATCACCCCCCTCCCCCCTCTAGGGTCTAACACTTACAACCACTCATGTGATTACTACACCTTGTGTCAACGTAGCAGGTATCATATTTAGGTTATTCATTGGCATGAAAGGCCATTAAAAGTACTTCTTCTTCCCTTCTCTCAACAAAGTTTGATTTTCTCCTTCTCCTTTATCTTTTGCCATTTTCGTATAGCATTCATTGCTATAATGACCATAGTACGATAACACTCAATATTTGTCTTATAAGTATGTTTATAACGACCTTTTCCTTTAGCTTGAGAGATCGGCGATGGACGATCTTCATGCCTGAAATTCTGTTGATGTCTAGCTCCATTGTGGTTGCCTCGACCTCCTCTTCCTCGTCCTCTACCACCTCTACCCCTGCCTCTTCCTCTATAGTTTGAAAAATCATTAAAGGTAGAGGCTTTTAAAGCTTGTTCTTCAGATGTATTATTGTCAGTGGTGCTGCGATTTAACTTCTGCTCATGCACCAGTAAAGAGCTTTGCAGCTCATCGATTGACATTGTGTTGATATCATGAGATTCTTCAATGGAACACACGATATAGTTGAATTTCGGAGCCATTGATCTCAATATTTTCTCTACAACAGCACCATCTTCAATCTTCTCACCATGAATCCTCATCTTGTTTGCAATCCCCATAACTCGTCCAAAATAATCGGAGACCGACTCCCCATTTTTCATTTCGAGAGTCTCAAAATCTCTCCTTATTGCTTGAAGCTGTGCACGCCTTGCTCAGCCTTGGAACTTCTTATTCATATAATCCCATATATTTTTTGATGTATCTTTCTAGAGAATTGTCTCTAGAACTTCACGATCGATTGATTGAAAAAGAAAATTATTTGCCTTGAAATATTTTAAACGTGACTCCTCAATTTTTGCTTTCTAGGCATCCATCAATGTTTGATACGCTGCCTCTGTAGGTGCTGTAAAACTCTCATCAACAACCTCCCAAAGCTCTTTAGATCTGAAGAAATTCTCCATTAGCATACTCCAATGATCGTAGTGACCATCAAAGTGAGGAATTGCTGGTTGGACAAATGATGTTTTCTCTGTGGCCATTTGTCGAACAGTTTCTACTCCGGCCTCTACTCTCGGTATTTGTTTATCGATTATCTCCTCTACAGAGGCTATGATACCAGATGTGAAGATGATAGAAAAGAGAGTATAAAGAGAGAAATTTCACGCACATAATAAAAGGATTCATTCATTACTTAAATAGATAACAGCAGTAACAGTTCAATCCACTAATAACAACTCAGCAGATTTTGTGGAACAACCCACAGCTCACAACTCAACAAACTCCTACAAACTAGGAACTACCTGGTAGACTAGGTTCAACACATAACAAATAACAAAGCAATTAGTTAATAAATATCTTAACAAAGCAATCTCAAAAAAATCCCCGACGTGTACGCAGGCTTCAGGAATACTTATGTGATTACACTAAACTTGAAAAGTACCGGAAAATAAGCAATCTCAATGTTATCCGTGCATATATCCAGATTTCAAAATCACCCTATAAATCCACTACACTCCAAGTCACCTTGATGCAATTAATTCAAAGATACAAGACAAAGCCCATATCCCAAATCCTCTCGTCAGCCACGAGTTTCCGTTGACGTGTCACACCTCGCATCCCCACCCAAAGCGCGCGTGACAAGTTCCTCTCCAACACGTGGGCCAGCACTAGAACATTCATCTTTCCCGCCAATATTTTTGTCTCGTGGTTTCGTGGGCCTGAACCCATTTACCGTCCTTTACAGTATGGACACCCTACAAAGTGACCACCATTTGACTTGCGACTTTTCATAGTGGACCCCGCGCAAGCTTGCCTCGTGAGTTGTAAGGTGTTTACCCTTCTCAGGTGTAGATAAGCGTCTACTATATTATTGAGGAGAAGACCGCGAGGAGTAGGGAAACCAAAGGGCGCGAATCGGCGCGATTCGAAAGGACAGCGGTGTAAAAGCGCAGCAAAGCTGGCGGTACTAAAAAAAAGTTTGATTATTTTAATAGTTTTTACTCTGGTGTGAGTCCTATGTAAGCATCATTTTTGTATGACTGTACAGCACAAACTCTCAAGGAATTGGGGCCGTCAGATGGCAACTCTTGATCGACCCAAAGGATCTTGTTTACCCGTTGTAAATTTATCCACGGCCCAGTAAAGGATCTTGTTTTATAACCTTCAGAGTAAAAAAAAACCAAGTTCTCTGGCTCTGGCTGTAAATTTACATGCTTGCGAAGAGAAAAGAGTTCGGCCAGGAAAACATAACTCTGTATTAGGAAAAAATTAACAATGTTATGCATTCCAGTAAGAAAATTTTCTGTAAGAATGTTGCTGTTGATAAATAAGTAGATGCGCTGGATTCTATGTTTTTTTGACAATGGCGGTTTTTCTATAGAGTGCCCATGAGCACTCAATAAGAAATGATAGAGATAGAAAGAAATGAATACCATATGGGCCCCCCTTATTTGCATTAATTTCTGTGCATAATTCATTTCTCTCTATCTCTCTCCTGTCTTATAGAGTGCCCATAGGCATTCTATAGAAAAACCGATAAAGTTATTAGCTAAGTAAGAGTTAATAAAAAGAAAATAATTATTTTAAATGAAAATCGATTAGACATGCATGAATACATCTCGCCCAGAACCCAAAAATGTAACAAAGAAATGTTTTTTATTTTGTCTATTCTTTAACCAGAATTCATAAATCTCTATATGATATTTTTGTGACATATCCGTGCCCATCACAAAGATGTCAGGTATAAAATATTTTTCATGCTTAAATTTTATGATGATATACTTGATTATCACACATTTAGATTCGGATATTCTCCGTAATCAATGGTTAATCAACTATTTCAATCCTTACTCTTGATCTCAATTTCAAAGGAAATTACATCACTGTGTGGGATTGTAACAATGAAGCTAGTGGTTACAAATACCACAGTATTTTTGGTGAATATAATTTTATTTATTAGTATCAACTATCTCCAAAACTAATTAAAAAAATATGAATAATTATTTTCTAATCCCTCCATTTTTATCAATATCTCGATCCTCTCTCTTCATATGTTACTTTAATTGATCAGTTAGTAATTATTTTTTATTATAAATAAAATTATAGTGGTATTTGCAAAACAACTGGCTTTATTGCCGAAACAACGAAATCCTATGTGGCAATATTTTATACCTTATAATTGAGATTCAGGGTGGCGGTTGAAAGAATTAGTTATTATCTATTTACTACCTAATTGGATAGGATCTGCATCCCTTAGGACTAGGCACAAGAATCACGTGAAAATCTTCAAGTTTTTCTTTTATGTATATATTTGTAGCTCGAACAAACCAATTTATATAAACTCCTTCAACATAAGTTTAATGAAATCTTAAATACATCTACACAAACAATAGATAGAGAAACGAAATACAATATATTAGCAGAAAGGCGCAACATGATTTCCTTATGTACGTATACTTGTCAATAATATTTTCCCCACACAAGTAAAACACAAGTTAAATTATCAAATTGATATTTTTTCCTTGACCCATTTTATCGCTTTGATATTTTCTTGCTTCAACATCATTTTGGTATATTTTTTCCTTGGCCCAATGCGTAAATAGACCCAAAAAGTTGGTCATTTGGCAAACGAACTTAGGAATCATTGACGCATAATACATTAAATGGTAATTAGGATTAATTAAAGCACGTAAGACGCGCGTGCTCCTATCCCTCTTAATTTCATTTAAAATCAGGGCATAGATTAGATTAGGGCTTGAATAAAAAAAATTCTCTTTTTAAAATCTATTTTCACCTTCTCCGATTTTCTTAAATATTCAGCAAGCTCTGTTCAAGTTCAAGTTCAAATTCAAATAGAGGTGGATTGAATCTAACTAAAACTAATTAGCACAAACAAAGATTTTGATTCCCGGTTCATTTAGATCATGGCGAAGTAAGACATATTTGAGCATTTTAGATTTGGAAAATTGACTATTTGTTTTTTAACAAAAGGACCCCATGTTTCCCCTATCCATGGAACAAGAGGGAAGACTTTTCTCCCCACCGTTCCTGCTGAAATTTCACAGTTAAATCAAAGAACAAACAGTTGATAATTTAATTTTTAAGGGCTTAAAACTTAAAAGTCAAAACAGCATTCAAAAAAGAAGGGCGGAAAAATTTCGCAGCTTCCACAACGTTCTACCCCGTGGAAGACTCACACGCAGGTGGAACAGTAGCGAACAGAACACTATCAAATTATTACAGTTATTCCCATTTATTTTTTTTGGCCTTATTTCTATTTTCCCTCCATATCTATCACCATCCGAACTATAATTTCCCTCCCTATTTCCTCATTTTCTTTCCGCCCGATTTCTCAGATCCAAATCTTTCCTTAAAAATCCCCAAAACCCTAACCCTCTCTTCGAAAATCTCCACCCACCGCCTCAAATTCGCCTCTCAAACCTCATTCACCACGAAACTCCGCTGCCGATCGGTCAAAACGAGGGTTTTGGCGCCGAATCTCGCCCCCGTTTCTGATCTCCGACGACGCCGAGGGGTTCCGACCGCCAATCTCTAGGGTTTCTTATATGTCTGGGGGACGAGCAGCGGCGAAGTTCTCCGGCCAGCCCTCCGGTCAAGTGTTCCAGCCGCTGAAACGGCACTTGCCGTTTCCTTCGAAAACGCCGTCGCGATTCGTTGATCCTGATGCGTACCATAGTTTCGACAGTGTGAATCGTAGGATCGATGATGATGGGGCTGATGAGCTTGTCATCAGAACTCCGGTGAGTGATTGAGTGAGGGATTTCGGCATTTTTCGTTAAAGTTAACATTTTTAGTTGAGTTTGAAAACGATTGACTTGATTGGGTGCTTTGATATGCAATTTGAGTAGTTACACAGTAGGATTATTATTTTTTCTAGGTTTATTTATTATTATTTTCTTTTTTTTGGGGGGTGGGGGGTTGGGTGGTTATGGTGTTGCTTAAAATAAATCGTTTATGGGATTTAGTTTACTTGAAGTTGACTTCTTTAGGGTGATTTTCTGTTAATTTCTTAAAGCTTAAAGTGTTCCTGGGATTTAATTTTGCTTGAAGCTGACTGTTTTAGAGTGGACATTTGGGAATCTTTGATTCTCTGCCGATTGCTTGAGAGTGATTTACTCGTGGTATGTAATTTTAGAATTTGAACTCATTCACAAATATAGTTTGTTTTTGGAATTTAGTTATATTTGAAGTTGACTGTAATGTTGATGGAAATTGCGGCTGATTTATATAAATAATATTGGGGGAGTTATTTGACTGTACAAATTAAACTGGTGATGGAAGGATTTTTAAAGTTACCTGATTTCACTCGTCTATTCATTTGCATTCATGTTAATTACATTCATTTACAGACCTTTTGTAATATAAACTATTCCATTATTTTTTATATGGTTTAGTTTTAAGTAGATATGTTTTTGCTTTGTTCATTTCTTACCCTTTCTATTTCCAGATTTTTTAAGGGAAACCCCCTAAAGAGTCCCAGCTGCCTTTCATTGGCCCGAAGGCCAAAAGTATATTTCCAGCAAGTTCATACCGAGTTTTAAAATAGGACAGCAGTCTTTTAAGTTTTGCGTGTTCAGGCATAATGTTGACAGTGCTGATAAATTAAAATATTATGTGTGATAGTATAGTTAGAAGTAACCAAGTTAACTAATTTTTGATGGCATGGTATATATCTGAATATAGCATTTATTCTTATGTTTTAACGTATCAGTCAATATGTTGCACCAAATTTAGTCATAGCATGTTTACCTCAAAAGAAGTTGTTACAATTTTAAAGATTTTAAAGATGTTACATTGTTGCACCACGTGGCATAATTATATTAGGACTGCTAGATAGGAAATGCTTCATTTTCCTTGGAAGAAGATAGTAACTCTTGGACTTTTTCTCATTTATTATCTTTTTCTTTCAGCTGAGCAGATATTGAGTAGTTTTTACCTCTAGTATTTTTTTGTCGATTCATATCCCTTCAAGGCTAGGAATAAAAACTCACGTCTTGTTGTAGCTTATTATTATCATTTTCCCAAGTTGAGATTTATCTAAACTTATTTTAGCAGATATGAGTAGTTTTTACCTCTAGTTTATTTTTCTCCTCAATCCTTCTTATCTCCTCAACGCATGGAATAAAAACTCAGTTCTCATTGTGGGCTTATTTGTCATTTTTCCAACTTGAGATTTATTTAAACTTATTTTACTTTTAAGTTTAAATAAAAAACTCTTTCATTTAACTGCATTCTTGTTCAGGTTTCCGTTTGATGCCAAACGCAAACACTAGTTACATCTTGCGTTTCTTTTTTAAAAGGATCAATTCAATTGGAGAGGTCTCATAGTTGAATCAATGTGGAAAGTTCTATCGCATGCACATGTCATTTGCCTATACAACCTTTTTCCAGTAGAAATGTTCTTTTTCTTCTACATGGAACAAGGCCACTGCCTATTCAATCTCATCTGAAACTAACCTTTCATTTATAAGACCAACAACAGGAAGTTGAGCCTACTTTTTTTGAGGTCATAATATGACGTGGACAAACTGAATGGAGACAATGTACCGTTGTACTTCCTGATTGTCGGGCACAGTTAATATTTAGTACCACTTAAATATCTTACTTTTTTAATGTGTAAATGATTTTTTGTCTTATCATTTATTAAATTTCGGAACTTGATTGTTTATATTTTTAAGTTTAAGTTTAAAACAAGCTTTACGTCATAGTTGTTCAAGATTTACTAAAGACTTAATGGTCAAGCACCAGCACTTTTGAAACAAAAAAAATGGAAGCTATCATATGAAATGGTTTAAACTTCTGCTTCTACATATGATTTGTTAATTGGAGTAAGAATGTCTTGCCCAATTTGCGCAAACTTTTAGATTCACCTATTCTAAAAAATCTAGACACATAAATATGTTATATGTATTATTATGATTATCAACACTATATATCTGAGAGTTACTTATATATGCAAAACCTTAAATGAGTAGAACAATATAACAATTAGTTCTTCCAAGAAAGGGGCCTTGATATTTGTTTGCTTATTATGTATCTTTAAGGTGATAACAATACATTTTTCAACAGACATCTCATGCATAACAAGGGACCAGCAGACAAATTTTGGTGCTGTCTGCATATCATAGGTTTTACTATTTAGTTGCAGATTTTGCTGGGATTGGAAGCATGACATTTTGGCATGATTATCAGATACAAAAGATTGTTTAAAGGACCAGCTACTCTGAAGGCTGTCAAAATTATTAAATGTAACTTGAAAACAATATACTAAAAGTTAGTTCAGCAGATAACATCCATAAAATCTGTTGATATTTCAAGACTGTAGATTTTCTTAAATTAACAGATAGCACCGTTCTCATGTTGCCACACGGCTGGGACACAGTGCAAAAAGGAAAGACTTCTTTTGCTTTTAGGATGGAATAACTCCCAATGGGAAGTTGTAGGTAGCACCCTTCTTGATTGACTCATCAATGGATCTCGTCCTGCTTGACTCTTTGTGGTCTATCTAACTCGGTTCACTTTGTTTCAGTTCCATCGTATTCCTCTATCTGTTGTTGTGGCCTTGTTTTGTAAAATCCATCGAATGCAGTTTGAAGCCAGTTAATAGCCTCCATGTAAATTTAATCACTCAGTTGGCTGTTTAAGATAAGCTAGACGCTACACGTTTGAGTTTTGAGTAAAAAAATTATATCAAAATATTTTTTTCTTCAACAAAAGGTTGGGTGGCTTTGAAGAACATTTAAGCACATGAGTAACGCTGTGATTTTGTTAATGATATATGTTTTATGTGATTTTCCTTGGCGTTTGCTAGCCATGCTAAACTACATCATATTATATACACAGTTGAAGCGAAAGACAGATGTGGATAATGCGGAAGCTGCTGAATCAAATGAGTGGACCTACAGTCCTGGCTATGTCGAAGGAATTAACAGTCCCCTTCAGACACCTATATCTGGAAAGGGAGATAAGATCTTGGATAAATCTAATCCCTTGAAGTACAGCAAACCTGGATCTGCAATTCCCATTCCAAACGCTGGTAAGAAGTTGTGATCACTTTTCCTCCATTGTTATTGCAAGTTTCAGTCTGGGATTTCTTTTACTGATGGTGTCTTTGTTACTTGGAGTAATCTGGCTTCCATATGTTTTTGTGACTGCCAACACCTGTATGCGGGCATTTGCTAGGTAGTTTCAGTTTATTCTAAATTCTGGACTGGTTTTAAGAAATAAATCACAATCTTGCATCTTAAGACAGATGGACATAGGAGTGCTTGGGGCACATACCCCTGTGCATATCATAAAAAATTATAATTTGTCCATAAATTTAATAGGCGCCCCTATGTAATATGTATTTGGCGGTGTTTTCAAAGGCGCGCACCTCACTGTGCCTCATGCGCCTTACGATGCGGGCCGGTGGCGAAGCACCCCACTTCTGATGCAGCAGTGCCTTTTGCGCCTCACGTACATCCTTACTTTGTGCAGAGTGCATGTAGTACATATCCTCATAGTTTTGTTTGTTAACATTTTAATTGAGTCTTTATACTTGATATTCCATATCCCAAAAAGCAAAATAAATTCATTAGACCTTTTTAGTAGCCTTTAATTGAGAACCATTACTAATCCTTTGCTTGGATATTAGTCTTGATTTAACATTTGATTTGAAAATTTATGAATTTTGCTACTATGTTGGGTGTTAGCATTAGAAATTAAGGCATTATATTGTGATTTTGTAGTAAGATATTATTTATCATGACATTTTTCATGTGAATTCTAAAAACATGTTCTTTCGCGCTTGATTATATATTTTAAAAAATTATGTGGGCGGTGTGCGCCTCGCATCATTCGGGCGCGCGCATCGCGTTGCGCCTTGCGCATGTGCGCGTAATGATGCTTTGCGCACTGCATTGCGCCTCACGCATTGATAACACTAGTATTTAGTGCCCTCGTATGGAGAACAATTATGAAAGACTATTGTCCGAACTTTGTAGTAATTTTGTTAGTTTATGCAATGAAAATGAAAATGATCATGCATTGATATGAAAATGATAATGATCATGCATTGATATGAAAATGATAATGATGTAGATTTATGTGTTAAGATCTTTGTGATTATTGTCCATATGTACCTGCATATGTGAAAAAAATCCTGGATCCGTCTCTGCTGGAATTTATGTTATATAGATTATCAATTCATATGTCCATATGTACCCGCATAGGGGAAAAAAATCTGGATCCGTCTCTGCTGGTAATTTTCTCATGTTTAGCCTTCTACATATTGACATGTGGAGTTAAATGCAAAACAAATTTCGCTTAATTTTATAAGGGTTCTGCATGCTTTTGCAACTGTTGTATCACTTGGCTCTAAAAGGACTATGTTACATTTTCCCTCTAAAAGAACTATGTTATATTTTCCCTCATGTCTATTATTATTTATTTTTATAAAGAGAAGCAAACATTTTTACCTTTAAACAACAGTGAAACCCTTTTATATAGTTCACTTATTAATTAAAACTAAAACCACACACGCATTTAGTTTCTCAAGATAATCTTGTAGTTTATGTACATTACTAACCGGCTATTTGTTTTGTGGAATTTGTCGCTTGTATTGGTGTTTGGCACAGAGAATTGTAGTTTGTTGCCAAGTATAAAAACTGACATAATTGTGCTGTTGCTGCTGTTATTGTAGTCACAGTTCCTCTTGTTTCAGATTATTAAGCTTGTCACTGACATCTGCGTAGTTTATTATTTATTAGTTGGGAAAACAACTCTGTAATGGAAGTCTAATCTGTTGCTTCTGTGATTGGACTTGTTACAGGTTCTCCCAGTAATGTTCTTACCCCAGTTGGTACTTGCCGTTATGACAGCTCTCTAGGTGATTTGACTTGTTATCTGAAGCAATATTTACATTAAAAAAATCGTAAATCTTTCAACTAGATTTCAAACAATAGCTTATTAAATTATAAAGAATTTAATTGGTTCCACTAGTTTGTTATGCTGGTTGTGATTGCTGATATATTTTGTTTCAGGTCTCCTGACCAAAAAGTTCATCAATTTGCTTAAACATGCTCAAGATGGCATCCTTGATTTAAATAAAGCTGCTGAAACTTTGGAGGTGAGTTTATTGCTTCTAAGAAAGATCCTCTCTAATTATCAGCAGTGTTGCAAAGACTGGCAAGTTTTCTGGACAGGTTTAGGCCCTAGTTTGCAATCTGGGCCTTGACCTGCCCAATGTTTCACAATTCACTGTTATTTAGAATCTTTGTCATCATCTAATGATCCAAGTACTTTTCCCATCTGATTGGAGTTACCTTTGTACTGATTCTAACTGAAGAAAGCAGCACAGTTACTATCCCCCAAATATTAAGACTGGTTGTAAACCAGAAATAAACTCTGGTTTGGTGTCAAATATCTTCGTAGAAGCATCTTGGATCAAGGGGGAGTTTTTGATAAAGTTCCATAGATTTATTATAGGAAATTGCATTTTCTTTTTGCGAGGCGCATCGTGAGTTAAAGAGCTTAAAAAAATCCTGCAATTTCCATTTTTCGTTCTTTTTCCTATGAAATGTATATTGGATTCAGGTTCAGAAGAGGCGGATATATGACATTACAAATGTCCTCGAAGGAATTGGACTGATTGAGAAGAAACTTAAGAACAGAATATGTTGGAAGTAATACATCCAACCCCCTATGAGTTTCCTGATTTATCCGTTCTCTTTTCTCTCTCTGTTTCATGCCTTTGCGTATGAGAATTCATTTATTTAAAGAAACTTATGGCAGGGGAATAGATGAATCAAGACCAGGAGGGACTGACGATGGAGTTCCCATTTTACAGGTAAGAGAAAACAGTCACTTTAAAACTGCTATGAAGTAATGATTTCTGTTCTTTGTTGGTATCAGTTAATATATAGTGTTGTCTTCATAACTTCATTGATCTTCAGGATGCAAATGGTTTTCTGGTTCTTTCAGAACGTCCAATGTCTAACCCTGTTACTAATTTGTTTTCAGGAAGAAGTTGAAAAACTTCATGTGAAAGAGCGCAACTTGGACAGTCAGATAAGGTAACCATAGATCCCTTTCCGATGAGAATATGTTTTGCTGCTAGTCTAAAGCTTTAGGTTCATTGCAGTCAACTTCGGGAAAGGCTAAGGGATTTTAGTGAGGATGAAAGCAGTCAGAAGTAGGTATTTTCATATGCGAGTTGGGGTTTGTGATTTATCTTGATTTCTTATTTTACTTTCCTTTCTAATTTGTCTCTGCTTCTCTAGGTGGTTATATGTGACCGAAGAAGACATAAAGGCCATTCCCTGCTTTCAGGTATGAGTTGCAGTTTCAATGCTTTATGATCTGGTATGTAGGCTTATATTGGTAGTCAACTGAAGTCAACATCCACCTATTTAGCTTGTTATAAACCTTTCTTGCAAATAGATATGATTATCATAGCAATTCCTTCTCTTTCCTTTTCTGCAGAATGAAACTCTAATAGCAATTAAAGCACCCCATGGTACTACACTGGAAGTTCCAGATCCTGACGAGGTAGGGAATCACGGAAGCGTATGGGAAAATAATCCTACCTGTTACTATTTAGTCTCTGAGAGGTTATTCTTGAAACAGGTTGTTGATTATCCTCAGAGGAGATATAGAATTGTTCTGAGAAGCACAATGGGTCCAATTGATGTTTATCTTGTCAGGTATCTTCTAGCTCCCTGCATAGGCACTTAGGCAGATTACCTAATCCCATAGAAGTCTGTTGTAATTACATTAATCTGTGGCTTTCTGTTTCAGTAAATTTGAGGAAACAATTGAGCAGGTGAGTGCTACGGTGGCTTCTCCAAGTCCCCCACCTGTATCACATTCAGGCTCTACTCAGAATGATATGGTGACAGTAAGACAAGGTCATGAGAGTGGAGGCAAGGAACTTGATGTTCAAGGTGCGCCGATGATGTCTGCCGATCCAAATCTTTTACAGGACCCAATTGGTGGTATGAAGAAGATTGTTCCTTCAGATGTCGATGTAAGTTCATCAAGATCACTGGGATACTTTAATTTGTATGCTTAGTAATTGTGTGGACATGACTCACCTGCTAATACATCTGAACTGAGACTGCATTTATACTACAGAGCTAATATTTACCATATAAGGATTTGGCTTCGTAGATTTCATTTCAATTGGTATCTTGTCATTGTCCATGCCCAAAGCATAAGATTTTCACCACGATCAGGTATGTTTTTTTGACGTCAACCAAGAAAGGGCCAGCTTTAATAAAGACATAATTGTGATCCATGTACTTATCCCCAATACATGGAAATAAGGTCTTACCTTAATAAGACAAATGACCTTATGCACAATGCTATACACTGAAAGGAAATGTCTGGCCTTAATTATAAAGAGATAATTGTGGTCCATGAGCTCACACACTGTTATACCCCTGAAAAACTTAAGCTGCACAGTTTGTTTGTACCTCTTTTTGATTCTTTAGTGCATAGGATGACGGGCATCGCCATTACATTCATGCCTGCAGTTCGGTGAGGTTTTGCACATAATCTGATGGTTTTGAAAGTAGGCTACTGGGAGTAATTTTTTTAATAAAAATCAGAACACCTGCATAAAAGTAGTGTGCTCTAAGCCATTCATTTGTTGTTTTTTTGGGGGTGGCGGTGGGGTGGATGGGGGATGGGAGGATGGTTTGAATTTTTAACTATCCATTTTGTGATTCAGAACACCCACTCATATAGGAAGCCTTTGATAAGATTTTTATTCAGCTACTGACTGGGCTATAAAGAAAACCCAGTATTTGCTGAAACTGCTACTGCTTTTAACTTTCTATATACACGTGTTACTTTCCATGTCAGTCTCTTCACTCTTTGAATGCTGTCAATGCTTAATTGATTTGTTTGCTTATTTCTTTTTGCAGTCTGATGCAGATTACTGGCTTCTATCTGATGATCCCGGGGTCAGCATTACCGACATGTGGAAGACAGCTCGTATCCTTTTGAACACATTTCTCCTTTTTATTTTCTGTTTTCATTGAAGTTCATTGTCATTGTAAATCTTGGACTTTTGATAACCGTAACTCTCTCCAAGCTGATGATGTCCAATGGGATACAGAGCCTAGACTAAATGCGGAGGATTTCCTCGCAAGCAGTCCTCAAACTCCACCGGCTGGAGTTGTCGAAGCACCCTTTAGTAATAGTACTCCTAGGAGAAAGCAGGGTGTGTGAAGATGAAGTCAGATTGAACTGTTTCCTTTATAAGCCTTTAACTGGCTTGGCTACACCATATATTTATAACCCCCATCCCTGGGTTTTTAATGTCGTAGCAATATCGGCTTTTGTTAGAGCTGCTAGTGGGTTTGTGCAGTTGAGGAAGAAGATAGTATCTCCTGTGTACAGTTAAGGGTAGGATGCCCTCTTATTAGCTAGTAATGTAAAAAAGATGAACGTTCCAT